AGACCGTATCCTTGGATGACCGGACAGCACATGCAGATGTTCATGAAGCGTTGTGTTTCTGGATTCAACGCCGCCCCGCCACTCATCACTCCTCGAAGTTTACCGCCCAGTAGACGACGAATCTTTTTGAAAACAATACTGCAATATGTCCACTTTATTTTACACTTTTCTCATAGCTGCTCTTCACTTTTCATTAGTGCAAATTTCAGTTTGTTTGGATTCATCACAAACACAACATTAAAAGTGATATCAAAAGAGGATGAAAATATTATTGAATAACTATATCAACATTGTATCTATACTTCATTTCCATATATTTTCGCACAACATACGAAGTGCGATTCGATGAGAATGATTTAAAAATTATGATGTGAACAGTGTGTCGTCTCTATTCAAACAAAATAAAACAAACGAACCGATCGAGGAATGGACTGCAATAACCCTCTTCGTATCTGGCACGTTTACGTTCATAATTAAGTTTGAACAGTTCTTGCATTAAACGCGGACTCGACGCCACTTCATCACTGACTGCTTTGAATATGCGATCCATTATTGCCTGTAGCATTAATCAATAATTCACATCTAACTTATTTCTCTTCAACAGTAATTCATTCACTAAAGTGCATCCGAATAAAAATATTTAAAAGACAACTCAACGATATTAATTAATCTCACTTGCATCTAACGATCATATTCAATCCTTTCCAAAGGTCATACAACGAGTGTGCAATAAAAAGTAATCAATCGATCACTCACCGGCACAGCAGCCATAACTGTTGGTCGAAGTGCCCAGCAATCGCCGTGTGTTCCCGGCTTGATCTTCGCACCACGATCGTGCAACGTCAATGGACTCGAGTAGCCGATTCGACAGCCACGGAGCTTCAATCAAAATTAATTCATTTTCGAAATTAACGCAGCCTCATATCTCAAAATGAGTCATCCAAACCATAAACAAATGCCTCAAACCTTCCACACATTAATTTCAAACAAAAAACATGCTTTAATGAAAATAAAATGATAACATCATTCAGATGGAATTCAATGAACGATAAGTGAATCATACGTGCAAAAAATATCGAAAATTATCAATAAATCATTCACAGAACAATAGAACCGAATCAAATAATACTTCACCGATATAACAAAATTACAATAACAACCAATCAATTCACTCACCAAACACGTCAATTCGGCAGCCACTTCAAGGATGTGTGCGAGTGGTAAATAGCCAATGTAAGTGTCCGTACTGCTCACGATCGGAACACCCTCAGCGAGACCGATCGCAGACGCGACGATATTCTCGTTCGTTATGAGCACACCTTTCGGTGCACCTGTCGTACCGCTCGTGTACATTATCATGGCAATATCATCCTTGCTCGCTCGAGATTCAACTGTAATTTCATTTTCTTCTTTATGCGATCTGTTAAAATTTCACTGTTTCCACCTCTAAGCTAATCAATGCCTGCACACTCAAATAATGCACTCTTCAGATTGATTCACTCACAAAATCGGTTAATTTTAAATAAAACTTTTGCATCTGTCCCCTTACCTAAACACCATTCCCAGTACGAATTAAACATGTTAAACAACAAAAGATCTTATTCAACTCATCAATTTTCTGCATAGTTTTGAAGCAATTTGCAAAAAGATGAGTGGTGAGAAGTAATGAAAAAAAGAAAGAAAGCACTAACGGAACGGTTCGTCGCATTTGTTTTCCAGTTCAGTCAGTGAATAAACATGTTTAAAGCGTTGTTGGAATGGTGTGAGATCAGTCAATTTCTTCTTTTCGTTTACTTGTGGAAAGTAAACGAGTGATTCTA